GCAGTTTTGCTTAGACTGCTGCCCCCGCGACCCGGTCCCGGATAAGCGGAGGAAAATGGATGGATGGATGGATAAGTTTAAAGTGGGTTAAGCTTCTCAGGCAGGTTAATCCAACACTAGCACAATTCAAGAAGCAGTTATGAATCAGAGATAAATGATAAAACGCAACCTTTGCCCAAGAATACTTGTACTTCCACTGTAGTTCGGTAAATGATAATATAATGTGACTAATGTTCTACAATACAGGGCGCAGATGTAGGCAAGTGCACTGAATTGAGCCATACTGAACTGGAGCTGGATTTCAAAGGTTCAGATTTGATGTAGACCCAACATTATGTCTGAAAAGCTATACTTTATTACCAGTGAGAATTAACTTTTAACACAGAGAACCAAACATAGGCTTAAATAAATGACACATTATCTTTTCACATTCAAAAGAAAGCTTTAATTAGAAAGTTATATACACACTGTAAAATTAAATTAAACTTTATACAAATATTAAATTATCATCTTCACACCCACTGCCATTTACAGAGGAAAAACCAAAGCTAAACCCAATGAAACTAAGAATCAGAATGTGTACTTTTTTAAACCTGTTATCAGGGAAGCAACACCGTACAACAGTGCTTTTGAACAAAATGTTGAGTTTTTTTTCTCTTCAATCTCATATTTTAATGCCTTATAGCAAAAAAAAGAAGCAAAGAAATAGTGAAATATAGATACTGACAGGTTCATCATCATCATTATCATCACAGTAGCTGGAAAAGCTAGGGGAGGACAGAGAAGGATGGACATTCATTTAGTCATGTCCACAACAAAGTAAACTCTGATAAATACACAAAAATTGTTTTATGCATAGAATAGAAAAGAACAGAGTAAGGCCATTGGGAAAAAGCAACATGTTGTAATATTGTAAAGCAACCAATGCTGAGGCTGTAGATTATACATAAAAAATGTACAACTCTAAGGCAACATTCTGTTTGCATTAATAATGTAGCCATTGACAAATGACAGACAGCCAGAAATGCCAATCAAAACTGAACAGAAATTCAGACAGGCTGTTTTTTTTCCTAAGCAGTTACGCTTGAAGAGAAATTCTCAGGATCCATCCGAGTCATGCTGTTTCCAGGGTGACCAACTCTACCACCAAAGCTTTTCAAGTAACAATAAAAACAGAGGGTGACTTCTAACTAAACATCATTCTCTCTTAAATTTGCACTTGGAATTGGAAGGGTGAGTGAGTGCATGTAGTGAGGGTGGGGTGCTGTAGAACAAAACTTTTTTTTTTTTTTTTTTTTTACCTGTTTGGAGAGCTGCTCATGCACAAAAGTGGAGAGTGTTCAGTTCAGTGTGAAGGTGGGCGTGAGACAGTTCTTCTAAGGGGACTTCCGGCCATTCAGCAGAAAATGATAAATACCGTAGTTTAGATGAAGAATACACACACTGTGTAATGGACTCATTGCCTCAAGTGATGCTGGTTTGTTCATGTGACTTACTCAAAGCTTGGAGGGAAATTTTTGCTATGGTGAAAGACAGGGACAATGCAAAGCCAGCCTCTAATCTGAAGACAGGCAAATCAGGAAATGTCTGCATCAATGCCTGCCATATGTGGACATGTCCTCTTCAGCTCGTTGACATGCACATGAACTCAGATTTCAGCAACTCAATGTAAACACAAGTCAAACTAAACCAAACAAAATGAACTGCATGGGGAAAAAAATAAAACCTTAAAATTTAGTCATGCGGCCAAACACTCTGTTGAAAGACAACCCTCTCCTTGGCTTTTGAGACAAAATGCGACTTCTTATACATGTGTAGCACAGTCCTGGAACCAAATCACCAATCAATCCCACTCGTGCAACAGATTCCAGATACTGGGTGCTGCGAGCAACAGAAAAGAAAGGAGCGGGTCTTTTTATAGTTGTGATATGGTGCTTTGTAAAATTTTGCACCCTGCTTTTAGCTCCAGTGAAGTGGTTTTCAGTCCCACTAATCCATATGCTAGACACCAACCAGATACACAGATATCCAGACAGCTAGAGAGAGAGAGGGAGAGACAGTGGAGGCTTCATGCTTCATTCAGAGTGGGCCACCGTGCTCTGACAGCAATAACTAAAAACAACATGCAGCAGTCACAAAGAGGGCCGCAAAAATCCAGCCCTCACTCACAACTTTTCAAGTACAGCGGGAAGACGATTCTGATTCTGAGCACTGCAGCATCAGGAGCAAACCTCACAAGTTCTTTTATTTTTTTTCTCTGTAGTAACCCCAAACAAACCTGACATGTTTTGATTGCTAGAGTCTTCTCTGATGAAGACTCTGTTAACAATGTTAACACAGAGAGCTCCGCCTGGGAATAGGCAAGCGTATGGTAATATATAGCCTATAGTACACAACCTTGATTCAGTATGTATGTTTGACTCATATACATAGGATCTACAGGATTTATGCTGAGCTGGCACCACTTTGTTTGCCTGGCTTGTCTTTAGCTTGATCCAGCAGCTGGGTCCAGTGGTGCTCCATCATTGCTTATGAAGAAGTGAGTATCGGTTGTTGGCTTTGCTCTGCGTGGGTAACAATAGCAGAAGAGGTCGCAATGGGGAACGGGCATATTTCAGGTCCTTCTCTGCTGGCTGCTGAGGGGAGTCGGGGAAAATAGGTTGTCAGCCACAGTCAGTCTTGGTCAGCAGTGAGAGATAGGGGAAGAAGGGCTCTGCTGCTGATGCCGATAGCAGGCTGGTAGGCTTCATGCTTCCTTCAAAAGGGGAATATCTGCAGGGGAACCAGGCAGATATATTAGAATAAAGCAGAGGCTACAGAGAAATGGCTGGTGCAGCACTCTACCCACGACACAGCCATACAATTACATTTCAACTAAAACGTTTCAATCATTTTCAGTTACTGAAAATCTCATTTTTATTAACAAGTACTGATTATTTTAGCTTAAAGCTACAGTATGTAACTTTTTTCAAATATTTCTGTTGTAGAAATCTGCTCCAAAACTTGTCTTAATGTGAGAGGTACAGTCGAAGCCTCCTGTGACCCAGACTCATTGAACAGCCCTGGCAGCAGAGCAGAGATATTAGCTTCTGAAAGGTTTTGAGCAGGATTGACCTCTCTAATCAAGAAATTTTCAATTATTTCTGTTTGACCAGTAAGTTTCATTGCATTCTCATTTCTTGTAATTTCATAATGACAAATATCTGAAGAGCTGGGCGGCACAGAGTAGAGCACAGTGGAGCAGAAAGGAGTGCTGGGTGGAGCAGAGTGGATTGATCTGGAGTTTCACATTAGTGCTACATTAAATTGCATCTTGTAGCTTTATGTGTAAATATATAAATACATTTCCACAACATGACACTACAGTAATTCATTTGTATTTTGGAGATCATTTAAATATTGTGTTACTGTATTTATTATTTTTCCACCACACTGAACTGACAAGTTTATTTTTCAACTGGACAGTACTCTGCTTAGTAAATACCTTGGTCATAATTCTTAAAAAAAAAAAAAAAAAAAAATGAATTCTTAACAAAAGACCATCAGCTGTTATATTTGTAATGTTCAGAGAGAAGTACTGCTCTGGGTATACTTGTTAAAAGCACATTTGTGAGATAGTAGACTGTTCCCTCTTACCATCGGAAAACTCATCCGCAGAGGTAACAGAAAGCAGACTGTGCTGGTCACTGCTCTCAGAGTCTCTGCGGAGAGGTAGGGGGCCTGCGAATGCACCCCCAGGGTGCTCTCTAACCCATGATGATGAAGAAGAGGAGGATGAAGAAGGGGCCTGATGAACCAGTACCGTCTCTGCATGACGGTGAGAGGAGAAAGATGAGGAGGAGGACGAGGTGGATGGGAGACAGAAGTTTAAGTCTCTGTGGTGACGGGTTCTGCTGGGGCCTTGGCCTCCCGTGGCCCCTTGAGGAAGCTCCTCAGAGAGCACGATGGGGACCCGAGACTCTGGAGGACCCGGAGGAGGTGGTGGAGAAGGAGGAGGACCAGAAGCACTGCAGGGCCCACTGCTTCCATAGACGGCCTCTTCATAGGAGGGAAGTGTCACCTGGACACCCTCCACCATGATGGAGCTAGCCTGGCCTGAGACTCCTTGCTCCCTCCTGATGGACAGAGAGACAAAGGAATAATGAGAGAGACTGAAAGACAAGCGTGGACAGTGTGGATCAGAACACTAGGCACAGGTGGACAGGCATGATGCACTCTTGTGTGTTGCTGCTGCAGCAGAACCTCTGAATGGAGGTGATTAGTGTCGACTGTACAGTCCCTTTATAGCAGGCTGCCTCAAGCCCTCAGGCCCACAACACAATCAACTAGACTGCTAGTGAGCATTAGATCAAATCGTTCTGGCCTTTTAATCACAGAGCCACAGCACAGTGATGGGTTTAACTTCTTTTACTTTCATTTATCAGGTATTTAAGAAATGCCACCCTATGAGACTAGCTGCTATCATACGTGACAACTTTGCAAGCTAGTTTTAACAAAATCTTCTGAATAATGGGTGTGTACACGGAAAGAATGACAAGCAACATCTCTCTCAATCTGTAACATAGTGAGAGGTAGTTTACAGCACCAAATACAAAAGGCCAGTGCTTTTCAAGAGCAAACAACTAAAGCCTTCAAGAGTTTCTGCCAACAAAAGGTTGTGTAAGAAGTGGAAGATTGATTAAAAAAAAATCCTTTTCAACATATTCAGTCTCTTAAGTGAAGTCAAATACAAAACAAAATGCAGCCAGAGAGACATGGAGGCTGAAGAGTCTCTGCCAGGCATATAAAACATTCTCTTCTGAACAAAAACAAAGGAGAATTCTGGTCTTAAAGAATGTTACTTATTGACCTATTTTATTGATGTGATCTAGGGATGTGTCAGCCTCCCTAGAAACAAGTTTTCAATGGAGTCCATTAAGGCAAGCAACACAAGGAGTCTCAGAAAAAAAAAAACTCTTCCATTTTAAACAATACAACAGTCTAGACTGTACATTTAACAGCTTAAATGTCAATATGTGTTTTTTAAACTTCAAATCTATTGCAGACATACAGTAAGTACATGATTATGTAAAGGCACGGTGATGAAATGCATACAATTGTACAGGTGTACCTAATAAAGTGGCCGGTAAATGTATTTGGGGTGAGAATACAGGACTGTGTGTATCTTACCTGCTGTGATGGAAGGATTTGAGTTTTGGCTGCACAAGAACAAAGAGCACTACTAAAAGCAGGATGAGTGCCACAGAGCTAGCTGTGGATGCCACAATAGACAGAGCCGGAATACCCAGCGGAGAGCTTGGCTCCTTGTCTGAAGGACACAGAAAAACAGAGAGGGAATGAGAATGAGGCTCACAGATTCTGATTCTACATTTCCTACTCTTGCACAGAGGATGAGGTGACAGACCTTGTGTGAGTCGGCAGCTAATCTGCATGGGGCCGTCCCACTCGCCATTCTGGCAGGTGAGGAACTTGTAGTCTCCCTTCAGCGCGTAGCCTTCATCACAGAAGTACTCAATGACGGTCTTCTGGGTGAGGCTGTGGCAGGGAGATGGGTGGCAGCGATAGCCCCCGTTCTCTGGTTCGGTCGGGGGTGAACACACTGAGGAGAGACAAAGGCAGACATTTTTAACAGTGTTGTGTACAGAAAATGTGTTTGGCTGTAATTTCTGTGTGGGATTGATCCCTGCGGTTCAACAAAGGCTCCAATTTGGATGAACTTTCCCAGTGATCCCTGCTGGCTCTCACGGACAACGTCAGTATTTTTGTTATCATACTGTGTGCTACTGACCTCGAGATATTTCAGTTTTGAAGCAGTCGTGTGCTAAGAGCACGCGCTCAACCTCTGAAGTTCACAAAGTCAACTTATTTTCAGAAAGTGAGAAATCAAATCATGAACTTCATTGTCTCATGTATTTGTCCTGAAATGTGTTTAGTAACAAAAAGCAATGAAATGAACCTTTGCAGTTATAATGGGGGGTTGGAATTATTTCTACTCAGACAAATTAGGCCTGCATATGAGCATAATCCACCAAGAAATTTAAAAAAGCTGCTAAACAGACCAAACTTTAAATTGTATAAAAGACATAAAGTTAAAGAAGTTTCAACAATTATGTGGCTTGTGTTTATTTATTTATTTATTTATTTATTTATTTTACGTTGTTTACCGGTGCTTCTGATGCACCGTGGTGGCTGATGGGACCAGACTCCAGAACTGGTACAGATGATGGCGGTGGGGCCATCTGCAGTGTAGCCTGGCTCACAGCCATAAGACAGCAGGGAACCTGGCGAAAAAGA